GCATGCTGGCCAGTCCCTACATCATGCCCTGGTGCACATCGCGTGGCCGCCTGTTGTGGGCAAGTGGCTGGTCGCCTACAAAAGGGAAGCATTCTCTCTGAGGCCCCAGCAGCAAAGCCCGGCACGTGCGAGCTCGTTGGGCCCTTAGGCAAACATGCTGCACCGGTCCCTGCAGCAGGCTTTCCCGGCTGCCGAACTGAGGCTCTGTCCACATTCTGTTTCCTCTCTAATTAGCGACTCTCGAACTCAGGCTGCAGCGTTTGCGGCCGCATACATCTGACATACACTGAGGCCGCGTTCGCACCTGTCCACTCAACTACAACCGTGCCGTAGCGCTTGTACACTCCCGCAGCACTCGCACACCACAGCCTGGCCCTTCGCGCGTGTCGTTCTCCTGCACGGCTGCAGTTTTCATCAGACACTGCAGCCTGTCCTGGCGGCCAGCCTGTGGCGGGTCCGCTGGTGGTCCACCAAGTTTGCGCGACTCTATTTCGGATCGAGCCTTCGTGGTCACGGCCACCAGCAGCATTAGCTCCAGACCTCGGTCGCTGCTCCTGTCCTGCAGTTTTCAGTCAGGTTCTCTGAGGCTGCCGAGGCACGCAGCGTACGGCAGGGCATTGCTTCTGAGAGGGGGCTTTGCAGAGGCAGTCTTTGAGTTCCCACAGCTTTCATGTAGACACAGGCAAGAGATCTTCGCAGAAGCCATGCAAGGCCCTCACAATCCTGATGCGTAGATGTGCTTTGCGGTCTCTGGGGGGATTTGCTAGAGGCAGAGGTTTCGTGCCCAACTGCACGGCTGGCAACGTGCTCTCTAATCCTTAATAAAAGTGCTTACGAATTTGTACACCTACTCTCAACCCTTGCGCATGACCTGTCCTGTACCCTATGCTACTAGGCGATTCTGCGTCGCATGCTGCAAGGCTCTGCCCATGCGATTCCCTTGGCGCCTCGACTTCCTCGCCCGGCCCGCAGCTGCCTGATGGGCAACGCAGTGACCTGTGTGCAGGCTTGCGTGGCCGCATCTGACACACCCCTTCCTATAAGACTTGCAGCTGACGGCCACCCCCTGTTTTTTCCCTTTTTTTCGCCGCAACTCGCGCCTTCTCTTCTTCTTGTGGGCGCTCTCGGTTCCAGCCCTTCGCGCCTGCCAGCCTTTCAAGCCCTCTTCTTTTTGCGCTGTCACTCTCTAGCCCGCCTGATTTGCCGCTCTCCGCGTGTCATTTTTGCGCGTCGCTTTGCGCGTCGCCTCTGGGTGCTTCCACTTGGGGCGCCGCCTCTGGGTGCCATGGGTTCTCGCGTTTCTTGATTGCAACCTTTCGCTTGACTGCGTGCGCGCGCCGCGCGCCCCTGCGTGCTATTTTTGACGCTGCTCGCGTGCGCGCTCTGGGCTCCGTCAGCAGCACATGTGTCCGGCCGCCCGTCGTGATTTTTGATGCTGTCTGCCGCGAAGCCTAAGACCAAAACCCTTGGACACACGGAATCGGGTGGTGTTGGGGTGGGATTTCGCTTTCGCGGCGCCAAGTCGAGGCGCGACGCTTCAGCTGCAAACCCTAAACCC